TCTTCTTCTTCTTCTTCTTTCTTCCTCCTCCTCTTCCTCCTCCTCCTCCTTCTTCTCCTTCTTCTTCCTTTTTTGCCAGTCCAGTGGTTTGAACTTGGGGCTTGGGCTCTGTCCCTGAGCCTCTCTATGCTCAAGGCTCTACCACTTGAACCACAACACTACTTCTGGCTTTTTTATGTGGTACTGATGAATTGAACCCAGGATTTTATGCATGCTAGGCAAGTACTCTATCACTAAGCCACATTCCCAGCCCCCTCCTCCAACTTCTTGTCCTGTTCTATAGTAGGCATTTCATTTATTCAGTGTACATTATTCATTTTTTGTTGTTTATTACCTGTTTTCCCATTAGAGTGTAGGTTCCAGAAATGAGAAATTTTTATGATTATTGTTTTTTTACACTGATGCAACCAAACACCTAAAACGGTCACAGATATAGCTGATACTTAATATTTGTTGAATCAATGGATGCCAGAGGAAAGGAGGTCACAGAGCAAAGGTATATAGCTCGGCTTTGGACAGCTACCCTTCTTGCTAGCAAGAACGAGGAAATAGTGCAAAACTAAGTAGTGTATGTCTCTGTGCTGGTCCTGGTGCTTGAACTCTAGCCCTGGACACTGTCTCTGAGTTTTTTAATACCCTACCACTTCAGTCACAGACTCCACTTCCAGCTTTTGTGGTGTTTAATGGGAGATAAGAATCTCACAGCTGGGCACTGGTAGCTCACACCTGTAATCCTAGCTACTCAGGAAGCTGAGATCTGAGAATCATGGTTCAAAGTCAGTCCAGGCAGAAAAGTCCATGAGACTCTTATCTCCAATAAACTACTCAGAAAAATCCAGAAGTGGCACTGTGGTTCAAGTGGTAGAACACAGCCATTAGAAAGAATAATATTGTGTCATTTGCATGGAAATGGATGGACCTAGAACAAATTATGTTAAGTGAAGTAAGGCAAGCTCAGAGACACTAACCAGCACATGTTTTCTCTCATATGTGGAAGCTAGATATAACATACACTGGGACATGATAAATTATACAGAACTCTAAGCATTCACACACAGTGAGTCCAAAGGAGGATACTCTTAGGAAAGGAACACAGAGGCACAATGCCTATGTGCATCTGATCATACAAAATAATATTTATCAAAATGAACTCCAGGAGCTTTTTTCCTTTGAAAAAAAGAAAATGATGGAAGAAGAACATTTCAAAGAAATCAGATGTCCTCTAGGTCCAGAGAGTTGCCCCTGTCTGATTGCCAAGGAAGAAACAAGGACCTCTAAGCCCCACAACTACCAAGAGCTGAGTCCTATCATCAAAACGAATACACTTGGAAGTAGATCCCTCCCCACAGTGTCTGCAGATGAGGAGTCAGCCCAGTCAACATTTTGTTATACCCCAAAGCAAGTCATGCTGGAGATCTAAGTTACAAACCTGTAAAATCCTACAAGGGTTTTTGGCTTTTGAGCTTCTTATTTCCTGATACTATGTTACAATGCCACAGATACTTTGTATGATCCAAGGTTCTCCAGAAAAGAAAGCAAAAACAAAAGCAAAACCCAAAAAACAGAAGCATAGGCAGAAAGGCAATCATATCAGCTGGAGAAACAGGAAGGCTGCTCCGTATAATTCAGTTATAGTGTTGTCATGAGCATCAGGATGAACTCAAATTTGCCCAAAGAGCAGATTTACCTTTCCTCTGCCTCATAGTTCTATCCAGGAAATAGATTGGATTATGGTAAAGGTGATGTTTACTCTGTCTGCCGGAGAAAGGGAGAGGGGAAAGGAGAGGGAGACAGGAAGGAAGGAAGGAAGGAGGGAGGGAGAGAGACAGGGAGGAGGAAGGGATAGTGAGGGAGGGAGGGAGAGTACAAAGTTTTTACTTGAACAAGTGAAAATGGCTTGTTATGTCCTGAAATGGGAAAGAACAGGTTTCTTTTGTGGGGAAAAAAAGATTAAGAGTTTCTAGGGATATTTTTTTAGGGGGGGGGAGTCCAGTCGTGGGGCCTGAACTTTGGGCCTGGGCGCTGTCCCTCAGCTCTTCAGCTCAAGGCTAGTGCTCTACCATTTGAGCCACAGCGCCACTTCCCATTTTTTTTTTTGCTTATGTGATGCTGAGGAATAGAACCCAGGGCCTCATGCATGCAAGGCAAGCACTCTACCACTGAGCTACCTTCCCAGCCCCTTTCGGGGTATTTTAAGGTTTTATGTTTGTAATACTTAATCTGATATCCAACTGGAGACATTAAGTAGTTAGATATAAAAATCTGAATTTCAGAGGTGAGGTAGGGTTGGATTTCTGCTGTTGTTTTAAATCATTCCCCTGAATTTTAAAAATCACCTCAGCCACTCTTAGATTTCCTAGTCCTCAACGAGATGGGCAACTAGTTGAGATTAAAAAATTAGTCTTTTACAAGGCTTTTGTCTTACATGGGTTTCTTTTGGAAGGAGGGTTGCTTCAAATGGGTATGGGGTGGCAGGAGTAAATCTCAAAGTCATACCTTGTTGGAACTTGCACTAATTTACATATTCACTAAGTGGATAACCAAGACCCCCCCCCCCAGCTAGTGCTCCTAATGAATCGTGTCATTTATTTTTCATATTAAGCAGGTTCCTCTGAGAGGCCCCCAAAGCCTGAAGAGTGGTAGTTGGCTGGCTTGCTTCGGGTCCCTCCCCACCAGGCATTGTACCTGCCTCTAAGCCCCGCCCACACACCCCCTGTCCCCGTCACGCCCTCATTCTTCCTCCCAGCTGAGGCTCTCGCCTTCCCAAGATGTGGTAACGGTTCTAACAGCTAGGGGTCGGGGGAGGGGGCGCTGCTGAGTCCTGGCTCAGGATCAGCAAGAATCCCTTTTTCTGGGCTTTCCAGGAGCAGCACCACAGCCCCTATCTCCCTCCAAAAATCCACCTCCCCCCCCCCCCCCCTCCCCCCCCCCCCCCCCCCGCTTTCCTCTCCTGCCCCATTCCTTTGCTTTTTCTTTCTCCAGGCCTCCCCATCGTCTCCCAACCAAAGTTGATATTGTGTGGGCTCCTGGGCTTCCGGTCCTTAAGATCTTCCCAACCTGCTGGCAAAGGCGTCAAGGGGCTGGAGCTTTGCTGTCTCTGAGTCTTCAAGGTGATTGCCTGCTTCCACTTTGTGTGTCGGTGTGCCTCTCCAAGGTATGGCACCTGCCACACAGCCTCTTTGTGTGGATGACTGTGATTAAGGTGAGCCCATGCACCGGACCCAAATCTAAGTTCATTCATTTCTCCCACAGACGCTGCCCAATGAAACCTCATCAGCAGACCTTTCCCTTGCCCCGTCCCTTGATTCCGACATCTCTTAAGCCAGGTGAGGAACCCTGGGAGGGAGGGAGGAACTGTTGCACCAGGTAGAGCTCCCTCAGCTCACCAGGACCTTTTCTTCCTAGTGTTTGGGGAAACAGTTGGGAGATTGTGAAGGTCTCACCATCCTCTAATCTGGCTCTGCCTTACAGCTCCATCCATTTCCTTATTGTAGATGGGTTTTTCTTCCTTTCCACACAACTCCCTTAACCTGGCCCAGAACTTGAGGGCTCTTTTCCTACCTCTCTTCTGGGCTGGGCCATGCAGGTGCGGACCAGCAGCAGAGCGCTTGGGACTGGCATTTGGACCCTGAGCTGTGGGCCAGGTCACTTCGACAGCAATTGAACATTCATCTCCTTTATCTGGAGAAAGAGAAGGCAACAGTGTCTACTGGTCGGTCTTTGACTGATACCAGAGAGTCTCTGGACAGCGATGAACGGCCCCGGACCTCTAAGAAGAAACGAAGGCAATTCCTGAAGGAAATAGAAACGTCTACACTGCTGGAGCTCCTGATTGCTGAGATCAGAGCTCTGTTCTCAGCTGTGCTGCAGGATGGCAGCTCTGCAGCTTGGCGATACCTGCATGCAGTACTAGGTCTGTTGCCTCCATATCGTGAGATACTAGCCAATTGTCTTGATTTGCTGCCTTTCCTGGAACAGCTTTACTGTTGGGCACCCAGGGTGCAAGTCCAAGTCCACCTGGACCTGCTAGATGCCATAGACAAGGCCTTTCCTCCAGACAGCTCTCTGTTACGCTATGCCTCCCATGTTGACTGCTCTCCTAGGAAGAAGAGATTCCATCGAGAGTCCCCTTGCCCTGCCTGCTCTTTCTTGCAGGCCCAGTGGAGTGGGGGACAAAAAAAGAAGGAATTGGCCACATGGTCACGACCATTGACACTGCGTGAGTTTCAGCACTGCCTGGGCATTGTTGGTGCTGAAGTAGCCCTAGAAGAGACCCATTGGCTGGATGGCCTTAGTCTCCTGCCCTTGGCCCTGGCAACCAACATCCCTGTGCAGTATGAAAGCAGTGACACTGACTACCCAGACTCATATGTTGACAAACAGACCAAGTAAGTGAGTGAATGGTCTGGTCTGGGACTTTGATCAGGGGAAAAAAAGAAATCCATTCGTGAGTACCCAGAAGGCCTCTAAAATGTCTCTAGCCAGTTCACTGTGCCTCTCACCAATTACTCTAACCCCAAGCTGAGCTGATGTTTGTGAGACTGATCCAGTGAGGTTTTGTTTTGTTTTGTGTTGGTCGTGGGGCCTTAACCTTGGGCTTGGGTGCTGTCCCTCAGCTCTTCAGCTCAAGGCTAGTGCGCTACCACTTGAGCCACAGTGCCACTTCCAGCTTTTTTTCTTTTTGCCTATGTGGTGCTGGGGAATTGAACCCAGGGCCTCATGCATGCAAGGCAAGCACTCTACCACTGAGCCACCTTCCCAGCCCCCAGGGCAAGTTTTCTGAGCCCCGTTTTTTTTTGTTTTTGTTTTTTAATGAAAAACAAGAAAACAGCATCTCAGTGTTAATCCCCACAGGGAAGGCAGCAATTGAAAGTCAAAAGTCTGGGCTGGGAATGTGGCTTAGTGGTAGAGTGCTTGCCTAGCATGCATGAAGGCCTGGGTTTGATTCCCCAGGACCACATAAACAGCAAAAGCCAGAAGTGGCACTGTGGCTCAAGTGGTAGAATGCTAGCCTTGAGCAAAAGAAACTCAGGGATAGTGCCCAGGCCCCAGGACTGGCAAAAAAAAAAAAAGTCCACCATCAGGAAACCAAAGTTGCAGGAAATAGCTTGGCTTTCCAAAGTCAGGTAAACAGTATGTTTCTTTTTGGACAATGTTACCCCTTCCCTCCCTCCCAATTTCCCTATAATTTGTTATAATTACAATTAATCCAGTGTTGTTATTCATGTATGAGAAAGAAACTGGGAGCTGGGAGCTGGTGGCTCACACCTATAATCCTAGCTACTCAGGAGTCTGAGATCTGAGGACCATGGTTCAAAGCCAGCCTAGGTAGGAAAGTCCATGAGACTTTTATCTCCAGTTAACCACCAGAATACCAGAAGTGGCACTATGGCTCAAGTGATAGAGCATTTACCTTGAGCTGAAGAGCTGAGGGACAGCGTCCAGGCCCAGAGTTCAAGCCCCACGACTGACAGAAAAAAAAAAAATTAAAGGAAAGAAAGAAATAAACAGGGTATTTACATGTCCATATGAGTAGCTGGTTGAGGGGCTCTGGCAGTATCACACAGCATCACATCACCTCAGGCACCTGTTCTAGCTCCTTCTTTCATAGACCATCACTGGCTACGGCCATCTCTAGGTATCTGACCTTTTGGTCTGCTTTCTTCCTCTGGCTTTTTGTCATATAGGTCTCAGTTGGACTATGAAATTCCTCAAAAATCCCTCCCAGGGAGAAGTATTGGCTTCCTGCATGAGTTTTCCTACCCAGCTAGTCAGGTGTTGGCCATCATGAAGACCGAGAAGTACCTGAGGACCATACACTTCCTCTACCTCAATGTGGCTCCCAATCGCCTCTTTAAGTAAGAGCCATAGCCCAGACCCCTTTTATGTTTCTTTCTTTCTTTCTGACCTCCTCCCACACTATTTCCTTTCCTCCTGTCTCCCTGCACCTGTTCCTGTCCCTACTTCTTTCTCCCAGTAACCCTCTTCTGTCTCCTAGTTTTCCCACCACCCCATCTCTTCTCAGCAGCTTCCTCCTCACCCATCCTCTTTGTTTCTCATTTGCTGTTGCTGCCATTTGTTTTCATCATCCTTTTTTTTGTCTTCCTCACACTTCTCTCTTCTTTATATTCTAGGATGAGGAAGATGTTTGGTCCTAGCCTCCAAAGCATATTCAAGAGTGTTTTGTTATTTGTTTGCTTTCCAACTCCAAGGCAGTAATCAGATATTTAAATCTTTAGTGCCAGGGAAGCATTTATCTTCCGAAACCATCCATTTCCTTAGACTGAATCCTTTGGGGGTTTTTTTGGTTCTTTTAACTTCTGCTTCCTGGTTTTATTTTATCTCTAGGTCTATCAAAAAAAAAAAAAGTCCTTCCGTATGACCAAAGGCATTCATTTACTTTCTCCCATTAAATTTAAATTACATCCCTTTTTGAAAATAGATTTTGGATTTTTTTTTGCCAGTTCTGGGGCTTGAACTCAGGACCTGGGCCCTGTCCTTGAGCTTCTTTCACTCAAGGCTAGAGCTTTACCACTTGAGCCACAGTGCCAATTCTAGCTTTTGCTGTTTATGTGATACTGAGGAATTGAATACAGGGCTTTATGTATGCTAGGCAAGCACTACCACTAAGCCACATAAGCCTAGGCAAGCACTACCACTAAGCCCTGGATTTTTTATTTGATAATCATTGTACATATTTATGGGGTGCAGTGTGATAGTTCAGTATCTATGTATGATGTGTATTGATCAGATCACCGTTGTTGGCATGCTTGTCACCTTAATCATGTACCGGTTCTTTGTGGTGGGAGCATTTAAAACACTTTCTACTAGAAAAGTTCAATTAATGACTGGAAATATTCAATTAACTGTTGTTAGAAGTAGTTTTCCTATTGTACAATAGAACATTATAAAATATTTCTCCTGTCCAGTTTCACCTTTGTACCATACCGTTAATTATCCCCTCTGTACCCTCCCTCCAACATACCCCCCTCAGGCCCTCGTACCCACTATTAAGATGACACCTTTTCTCACATGGACACATTTCAGAAAATGTGATGCAGTCTCACAATGGAAACATTTTTTAACTTTATTTTTTCATAAAATACTATTGCCACTGGCAGTCAACTGTGTCTTAAATTTGATGGGCTATAAGAACCTGACATATGAACTTAGAACAGAGTAGGGTACCATTTTCTTCTTGTTTATCCTAGGCTTACATTTCTTCTTCCTATTATTCCTTTCATCTGTCTGGTTTGAAAAATCACTTTGCCCTCTTTCTTTTCTCTCTACTTTCCTCAGCCTTTCTCCCTGCATCCTCTTTGGTCTGCCTCAATTTTGTTTTGTCATTGAAATATGCACACACCTCTTTGGTTCCTTGTTGATCTCAACTTTTTTGCTTTATTTATTAAACATATTCCTAAATATTTTTGTGATCCTATTTTAAATAGAATTCAAAGTATTTCTTTTAAATTATATATCTATTGTCTTAAGAATTACAAAATTCTTGTATACTTATATTACACAAGGTGAGCAGTCACATTGTGAAAGTGCCATATACACATATAATATACTCTGTATTCCTTTCTTCTATTGCTCTTTCTTATTCCCACAGCCTCCCTTTGTAAAAAAAAAATCTTCCTTCAAATTTTGTTTTGTGCTGGCACTGAACTTGAACTTAGGGCCCTGAGCTCTGTCTGTCTCTGCTTTTTGGTTCACAGCTGGTGCTCTACCATTTGAACCAGCCTTCAGTCCTGGCTTTTGCAGATTTTTACTACTTAATTAGAAATAAAACTCTCTCAGATTTGTCTGTCTAGTCTGTTTCCACATTTTGATCCTCATATCTCAAATTCTTGAGTAGCTAAAATTCCAGTTATGAGGTATTATGTCCAGATCTCTTACAAAATTTTAAGTGGCTTTTATCATGAATTTCATATGTGCCTACAATATACTTTAGTCATATTCTCCCTCAGTTACTTTCTCTTTTCCTCCTTCCCACCTCCTGCTGGTTTTTCCCCAATAATATTTCCCCTAATTAAAAATTTTTTTTTGGTCAGTTGTGGGCTTAAACTCAGGGCCTGGGCGCTGACCCTGAGCCTCTTTGTGCTCAAGGCTAGGGCTCCACCTCTTGAGCCACAGTGCCACTTCCAGTTTTTGAATGGTTTGGAGATAAGAGATTCACAGGGACTTTTCTGCCCAGGCTGGCTTTGAATCACAATCCTCAGATCTCAGCCTTCTGAGTAGCTAGGATTACAGGCATAAGCTACTGGCAACCAGCCCCAACTGAATATTATTTTTAGTCTAGATTTTAATCTAGATTCCACAGGAGTGAAAATATGCTGTGTTTGTCTTTGTGAGTTTGACTTGTCCAACTTACTGATTAGAAACTTTTTAAAATTTGTTTTTGTGTGAATAGGCCTTATGATCTGATAGTAGTGCCACATAACAAGGTGAATCCTGAACACTACATCTTCTCTCCCTTTGGGGTGCTGTATGTACATCCACTGGATGGCAGTGAGGCCATGACGCTGGGTACCTGGCATCGTCACTCTGTTCTCTGGCAACAGCTCCAGTTCATTCCGTTCTTTAAGTATTGCCTCTTACGCAAGGCCTTGGCCTGGTAGGTGGGTGATAATGGGGGTGGGATGTGGATGGAAAATGCTTGGGAGCCACAGCTTATTGTCACTGACCTCTAATCTGTAGTTGGAAGAAGAACGTGAAGTTGCTCGTACTGCATCAGATCCAGACTCTCCTAGGGACTCAACTGCTCTCCGCTGTGCCCCACTTTGGAGCTGGGTTACTCCACATTAGCAGGTAACTTATTAAAAATACAACTTCAGCCAGGCATCCAGTGGCTCACCCCTGTAATCCTAGCTACTCAGAAGGCTGAGATCTGAGGATCATAATTTGAATCCAGCCCAGACAGGAAAGTCTGTGAGATAGTTATCTCCAATTAACCAGCAAAAAGCCAGAATAGGAGTCATGACTCAAGTGATAGACTCACTAGCCAGTAGGGGTAAAGCCAAACCAGAGCTCAGAGGTCCTGAGTTCAAGCCCCAATACTGAGATAAAACAGTAAACAAACAAAGCCCCACAACTTCAGTAGATTTTTAAAAATTATTTTGACTGCTAAGCATGATGACATACAACTATAATCCCAGAACTTGAAAGGTGAAGAAGGATTGTAAGTTCCAAGCTAGCCTGAGAAATGAAGCAAGATCCTGACTCAAAAAAGAAAGAGGGTCTGGGAAGGTGGCTCAGTGGTAGAGCGCTTGCCTTGCATGCATGAGGCCCTGGATTCGATTCCTCAGCACCACATAAGCAGGAAAAGCCAGAAGTAGCACTGCATATCAAGTGGTAGAGCACTAGCCTTGAGCTGAAGAGCTGAGGGACAGTGCCCAGGCCCAGAGGTGAGGCCCCATGACTGACAGAAAAAAAAAAGAAAGGAAAGAAAGAAAGAAGGAAAAAAAGAAGGAAAGAAAGAAAGAAAATGTTTTGGAAAACATTTTAGAAAGTACAAAAAAGCACAATGAAAACTAAGTCTTTGAATCTCATCACTCATAATTACTATGAACATATCCTTCTCACCTTTTTCCTACCACATATACAAAATATGACTGTAGTTATATAATCTTAAAGAACCTTTTTCCCCAGAAATTATATATTCTGAACATACATGTAGGTAGTTACATGCTTTTCCACATCAGCTTGACCCAAATGTTGAGCAATTAAGTTTCAAGTCCAAGATCTGAGAGGATCTCATTTTGAAGCCAGCCTGGGAAGAAAAGTCTGTGAGATTCTTATCTCTGATCTGTGGCTCAATGAATAGATTGCCAGCCTTGAGTGAAAAAAGCTAAGGGGCAGAGCCCAGGCCCTGAGTTCAAGCCTCAGTACCAACACAGACACAGACACACAGATTGGCTATTCTTATTTTCAGTGCTTCCTTCCCTTCCCCTTATGAGGCTGCAGCTACTCTTCCCAACTCATAGTTCCCAACTCAGCTTCTGAGCTGAAAGCATTGAAGGAATGCAGTGGGTAAGGGAAGACATAAGAGACCCTGGAGGCTGTAGCCTGGAGACTATATCTGAAGAGGACAGTCACTACTCAGGTCCAACAAACTGCTGTCATTTGAGAGGACAGATGTAGTGTGATCAGCTCCTTTTCTTTTTCAGGATTTCTTGGAAGTCCACATTTGGTGGTGAAATTTCTTAATTTTAACCATTTGGCTCAAGTTTTAATTAAAATATGTGCCAACCAACTCGTTAGTGGCATATACTAGATTTTTTTTTCAGTCTAAAATGGACACATCATTGCCAGTTTGCAATCTCTGCTCTAGGCAGTTTCCATCCTCCAGTCTTGCCTGATTACAAATGTAAGGACTTGGGAGTGTGGATATATCTGAATTTAGATTCTGAAAACTAGTAAAGCACTTTGCTCTTTGTGGCTTAGTTTACTGATCTGCAAAATAAGATAAAGATTTCTGCTCTGCCTGGCACCAGTGGCTCATGCCTATAACCCTATCAACTCAGGAGGCTAAGGTCTGAGGATTACAGTTCAAAGCCAACCCAGACCATGAATCCATGAGACTCTTATGTCCAATTCACCACCCAAAAGCCAGAAGTCAGCTGTGGTTCAAAAGGTAGAGCGCCAGCCTCGAGTGAAAAAGCTAAGAGACAGCAACAAGGTCCTGAGCTTAAACTCCAGTACTGGCACTTTTTTTTTTTTAACAAAAAGATTTCTGCCCCTGTAATGCTAATGTGAATTAAAATGCAATTGTGGATACAAAGTGACAGAGCCAATGGCTGCTTAGTCTCCACTGAGTAAAAGACAAAATTTTGAGCCCAGGTACTGGTACTCACACTTGTAATCCTAACTATTCAGGAGGCTGAGATCTGAGGATTGCAGTTTGAAGCCAGTCCAAGCAGAAAAGTCCCCATAAGACTCCTATCTCTAATTCATCACCCAAAAAGCTGAAAGTGGAATTGTGGCTCAAAGTAGTAGAGCTCTAGCCTTGAGCAAAAAGTGCTCAGCAACAGCATCCAGGCCCTGAGTTCAAGCCCCACAACTGACCAAAACCAAAACAAAACAAAACAAAAAAATTTCTTCATACGTGTCAAGAATGTTTTAAAGGTATGCAGTTCTCTAGGAATAATGGGGAAAGTGGATATCAGAAGTTGCAATTTAATCGCCTGGGGTTATAAGACTACCTGTCAGCCTGGACTTTGAGAGTCTGCATTTCCTTTATTCCAAGGAAAAAAACCTCATTTGTCTCTTCCTCCTAGCCAGAACTTAGGATCTGTTTGATCCTTTCTCCTGGAAGAGAGAGATATAAACACCCTCACATATCTTACTTTTTTTTCCCCCCAAACACTTCCTCAGCTAGCACCTTCCTAGGCTTGAACTCTTCCAGAGAACTCTGAAGAAGATCTGTCACTGCTGAGCACTGGGATTTTCATTATCTTTGCACACATTTGCATAGTTTGGTGTAAACAGGTCTTGGCCTAAGAAGAGACCACAGGTGTCTAAGGAGCTACCTCTAATGAACTCATCCCTTGCTTCCAGGCTTCTGCAGGAGCTTCACACTGTGTCCTGGCTGCCCAATGACCCTAATTACTGCTATGAGCTGTTGGACCTGCGAAGGGCCCTGGCCAGAAAGAAATACAGGGCCCTGCGGGTACTCCGTTACTTCCTGAATCTCTGTACATCCATTCTTCAGTTGGTAAGAGGCTCCCATTTGTTGTGAACCTTTTCTCCAAACTCAGTTCCCTGGAATTCCAGCATCCTTTTGGTTAAGCTTCTCCCAGGAACCCATGTGTCTTAGAGTCATTGTCCTACCCAGCAGTAGAAGTCAGTCAGGGATCCAGAATAGGTGAGCAGAGACTGAGATTCAAACTTTCTTAAAGGTTGGTTCCAGCCTAAGGGCAGAGATGATTAAGAATAGAAGAATGTTTCTTTTGTTGGTTGTTTGTATTGACTTTAGGGAATTAAGACACTTGGTAATTTGAGGCCTGGAATTCTGATCTTTTTCATTCTACAGGAATTATCTTTTATGTGTGTGTGTGTGTGTGTGTGTGTGTGTGTGTGGAGGGGGAGGGGTTTGAACTCAGGGCCTTGTGCTTGCTAGACAGGTGCTCTACCATCTGAGCTACTCTACCAGACTTTTTGTGTTGGCTATCTTTTTCTTTTTGTCCATCATGGGCACTGAACTCTGGGCCTGGGCTCTGTCCCTCAGTTCTTCAGCTCAAGGCTAGTGCTCTACCACTTGAGCCATGGCACTACTTCCAGCTTTTTCTGCTTATGTGATGCTGAGGAATCGAACCCAGGGCCTTGTGCATGCAAGGCAAGCGCTCTACCACTGAGCCACCTTCCCAGCCCCTGCGTTGGCTATCTTTTGAGGTAGGGTCTCACTTTATGCCTAGACCAGCCTGTACTGTGATCCTCCCATTTGTGCTTGTCTGCATCGATAGAATGACAGGTATACATCACCTCACAGAGACACTGGTTGAGACAGACTCTTGTGACTTTTTAGCCCTAGCAGACTTGAATCTCCAATCCTCCAATCTCTGCCTCCCAAGTAGATAGGATTACATGATTGAGCCACAGCACCTGGCTGGGATAATCTTTGAGCCTTTATGGAAAGTTTGTCTTGCCTCGGTTGCTAGTAAATACATGTGATTATGGTCCTACGTGCCTGTAATCCCAGCACTCTGGAAGCTGAAGTGGGAGGATTAAAAGCAAACCACAAATTCAAGTCCAACCTGGGTTACATAATATGTCTGAAGCCAGTGGGTTCTTGATAGCAATTCCCTGTGTCAAAAAAAAACCAAAACCAAAACCAAAAAAAAAATGTCTTCTGATGGTTGCTGTAAAATTAATGATGGATAAAAGATCTAAGTGTGAAAGGAAAAGAGGACAGATTTAAGATTACAAGATCATACAGGGTGAGAGTTCTCAGTATAGGGAAGGATTTCTTAAATAAAATACAAACTTGTAAACTACAGCAAGTCGGTGTGCTTGTCTATTAAAATTAAAGGTACAGTTTAAAAACAGCAGTTAGGGCTGGGAATGTGGCTTAGTGGTAGAGTGCTTGCCTACCATGAAGAAAGCCCTGGGTTTGATTCCTCAGTACCACATAAACAGAAAATGCCTGAAGTGGTGCTGTGATTTAAGTAATAGAGTGCTAGCCTTGAGGAAAAGAAGCTCAGGGACAGTGCCCAGGCCTTGAGTTCAAGCCCCAGGACTGACAAAACAAAACTCCAGTTAATAAATGATAAAACAGGGGCTGGGGGAGTGGCTCAAATGGTAGGGCACCTGCCTAGCAAGTGTGAAGCACTAAGTTCAAACTGAGAACCTCCCAAAAAAGAGGAGGAGGAGAACAAAGAGAAGGAAGAGAAAGAAGAGGATGAAGAGGTGGCTGAGCAGGAGGAGGAAGAGAAGGAGGAGGAGGAAGGGAAAAGGGGGAAAAACAAAGGTATTAGAACAAACTGAGAAACTTTGTATGCTACTGCCTGGAGTGGGAGAGTCCGTCCAAGTTGGCAGTCTCCGAAAGAGGTAGGATGGGAGATGGAGAACAGGAATTACCACAGCTGGTAACTGAATTGCTTTAGAGCCAAGCTTGCAATTGGTGCTAAGTGAATGCATTCTGCTGCCCACTACTAGAGCCAGAAGACATTGGAGATATTAACGAAAATGTGTTGTTAATTGTGGTGGTGGGTTGATATCCTTTATCCATTGCTAAGAGATTTTTATATTGAATGGATGTTCACTTTCGCCAATTGATTTTTTTTTCTGCTTCTGTTCAAATGATCTCAGGATTTTTTTTCCACTTAGTTTGTTCATTTGAATTTCCAGTCTGAGGACACCATTGCATTACTAGGATAAATTTGCTTCCCTTCTTTCCTCCCTTTGTCCCCTTTCTTCCCTACTCCCACCGTCCCTTCCTCCTTTAATCCACTCTTCCTTTTTCCTTTTCTTGAATGATTTAATTTTATCCTTATTTGGAGAGCTTCAGGATAGCAAGATAAAATCCCATATACCTTTTATCCAGCTTTTAACTTTGCTACATTTAGTTTACTATTTATATTCTTTCTTTTTTTTGTATTACATATGAACACATTTTCCTCTAACTCCTTTAAGACCAAATTCAAGGTATCAATTCACTTTATTTCTAAACCTGCCAGTGTGTTTTCTCAAACAATATTATATTTCTCCTTCCTTCCTTCCTTCCTTCCTTCTTGTCATTCATGGGGCCTGAACTTTGGGCCTAGGTGCTGTCCCTCAGCTCTTCACCTCATGCAAGCACTCTACCACTTGAGCCATACCATCCCTTCCTGTTTTCTGGTGTTTAATTGGAGATAAACCTGCCCAAGCTGGCTTTGAACCAAGATCCTCAGATCTCAGCCTCTTAAGTAACTAGGATTACAAGCATGAGCCACCAGCACCTGGCTACATTTTCTTTAACTATACATAATTGCTAAACAAATAAATATAAATGCCTCCATTCCTGTTACTGTCTTACTTCTAAAGTTCTCTTTGATACAGATTTGTGTGTGTGTGTGTCAGTCCTAGGGCTTAAACTCATGGCTTTCTCATTTTTGCGTAGCTTTTTCACTCATCATTGGTGCTCTACCACTTGAGCCACACCTCCATTCTAACATTTTTCTAGTTGATTGAAGATCAAATCTTGCAGACTTTTCTACTTAGGCTGGCTTTGAGCCTTGATCCTCTAGGTCTCAGCCTCCTGAATAGCTAGGATTATAGGTATAAATCACTGGTTCCTGGCTATGATCTTTTTTTTTTCCAGTCCTGGGGCTTGACCTCAGGGCTTGGGCACTGTCCCTGAGCTTCTTTTCTTTTGTGCAAGGCTAGTACCCTACTATTTAAGCCACTGTACCACTTCTAGCCTTTTCTGTTTATGTGGTACTGAGGAATTGAACCCAGGGCTTCCTGCATGTTAGGCAAGCACTCTATCACTAAGCCATATTCCCAGCCCTGGATTTTTTTTTAATATCCCCTTTATTTTCAATTTTTCTTTATTAATTTGGGCTTTTTCCTTTTTTGGAATGTTACTCTCATAAACAGATGGAAATCATTTTATTTGGGAGTCTATCTTACAGTAGGTTTATGTCGTAAGTTCGCTTTTTTTTTTTTTTTCATCTTGTCTTGATGTTTTTGGTTTCCTGTGATTTCCAGTTAAATCTTTCTGTGTTTCTTGTCTTTCCTTGGATCGCTTACAACTTTATTGTTACTACTATCCTCCATTGACTTGGATTCTAATACATTTTATTCTTCTTGTGGTTGTCCAGGTATCACCCAGAGTCTATTGGTCAGTCTTAGTTTTAGAATCTTGATTTTGTTTCTTTGCAGACTTTCCTAGTTGAGTGGGTGGCTGCATGACTCAGTTCTGGGCAAAAAATAAGTATACATGGAAGAAACTGTAAAAATTCTTTAAAAGAGACAGATCCAACTAGAATGGTGTGTGTGTGTGTGTATATGTGTGTGTGTGTGTGTATGTGCGCGCGCGCGCATGTGTGTGTGCCTTTCCTGTCCTTTTACTTGTAGTGAAAGTTGTGGTGATGGAGAAGCCATCACCATGATTGGGGAAAGTCACACTGAGGTGGGAGGAGGAAAAAAGGAGAAGCTTTCTTTTCTTTTTCTTTTTCTTTTTTGTCTGTCGTGGGGCCTTAACTCTGGGCCTGGGCACTGTCCCTTAGCTCTTCAGCTCAAGGCTAGTGCTTTACCACTTGAGCCACAGTGCCACTTCCAGCTTTGTTCTGTATATGTGGTGCTGAGGAATCTAACCCAGGGCCTCATGCATGCAAGGCAAGCGCTCTACCACTGAGCCACCTTCCCAGCCCTGAGAAGCTTTGTTTTAACCATTATTATTGGGCCTATGTATCATCTATAGATTTCTCTCTCGGTCTCTCTCTCGGTCTCTCTGTCTCTGTCTGTCTCTGTCTCTCTGTCTCTCTCTCTCTCTCTCTGTCTCTCTCTCTTTATTGGTTGTGGGGCTTGAACTTTGGACCTGGGCGCTATCCCTGAGCTCTTCAGCACAAGGCAAGCACTCTACCACTTGAACCACAGCACTACTTCCTGTAGATTTCTTTCATTGCATTAAGCCACAGTTTTTCTAATATTCTGGTAGCTGCAGCTAAATGCATATTTAAGGTTTGTAATGTGACTACTCTACTTGTATTTTTATTTTAAAATACTTAAAAACCTTACTATATGCATATTCTTAATTAAAATCCCAAAATAGTTATATCTGGTACTAAGGCTTAAACTCAGGACTTGATACTTACTAGGTTAGCACTCTACAATTTAAGACATATCTTCAACTCTGATTTTTGCTGGTTGTTTTGGAAATAAAAAAAGTCATAGGCTTTTTTTGTCCAGGCAGGCTTCAAACCCAAACCCTATACTCTGGATCTCAACCCCCTGAGTAGCAAGGATTACAGATGTAAGCAACTAGGCCTCAGTTCATATTTTATAGCTAACACTTACAAGTCCACTTCTTTTTTTAAAGCAAACAATATTTTATTAGAATTATATATAATATATAATGATAAATATAAAAAACATATTAAGTATAAGATCTTAAAATACTTACATTCAATTTTTAAAACTCAACATTATAATTTAGGTGGTAGGAACGTTATATATAGCCTATAAAGTAGTAGATTCAAATTATAAATTACAGGAATTTGGGGGCTGGGAAGG